AAGAGGCGCTGCTCAAGGAGAAGGACTCCCTGACGGCTCTGGCTCTGTGAGGGACGTGCCCGTTCAGTTTGGATTTTTTCCACCGCCTGTTGCTGCTGGCTGTTTTCTTTGGCTGCTCTAGTGCTGTGACGTACTCCTGCGTTGTCTCGTACTCATCGTCCTCCGTGATGCGGAAGGGGCTGGAGGGCAGGCTCCCCATGCTGTCGTTTAGGTAGGTCTTCCTTTGGTAGTAGCTGTCATACCTCTGTGTGTCCTGGAAGGGGAGCTGGTAGCGCCGCAGGAGGGGCTGCTGTTCCTCCACCCGGAAGCTGATGGGGGCTGCCGGCGGCAGGGACACGGCATGCGCAGAGTTGGGGGAGGTGATCTCGAAGGTGGGCCCCTGCGTGGCCATTGAGTAGTGGAAGTCGACAGGCGACAGGCGTGCTGGTGTGGTCAGAGCCGATACGTACCTGAAAGAAGCAACACCTCCATTTGGACACCGAACAACCCCAAAAACCTTGAGCTGCGCCCACGCTCTGCTGAACACCTGGTGCGGGCACCCATGAGACCTCCAGTGCACCTGGTCCTGGAGCTCAGCATGTCCTGGGGAACCAGGCAGAGGGACCTTGCACCACTGTGCAGAGGGAGGATGAGCTGCTGGCTTTGGTGTGTGCTTGGGCACCATGCACCATGCGTCCCAGGACTGCCTCTCCTGAGGGACTCTGTGCAATTCCCACCCTGCATTGCTGCAAACCTTGCAGCATCTTGCAGCAGGCTGAGTCAAGACTTCCTGGCCTCTCATCTGCCTGCCATCTGCTTTCTGTTCCCTCTGGAGCTGCCAGGCTTGTCTCTGAGGAAGGTCCCTGAAATGCCCTCCCCCTGCTTAGGCCACAGATGGGGAAAGCCTGGGCATTGCTTCCTCTGACTTAGCAAAAATCTTGTGTCTCAAAAAGGGATTTACTGCTTTCATCTACTCTAGTGACAACATCAGTGTGGCAACTCAGGTCTGGTCTAGCCTCTCTCCAAACAGTACTTCCTTTGGCATCACATCTTTCTAAGGAGCAGATTTCACTTCCTCTCGATAGTGCCAGTTGGTGTCTCTGCTAATTTCAGGCTGCCGAGGCTCCCTGGCTCATCCAGAACCTTTTACCCGTGTGTCTTGTGAAGTATGAGATGTCTGTACAAGCTGGCTCAGCCTGCCTGAATGGACCAGGGACAGGAATGAGAAAGCAGGAGATGCTGCCTTTCTCCTCTGCCCCGTGGACAAGTCCCACTGCCTTGAAGGGTAAGCGTCCACATGGCCACCCTGGGTTGCCCATGACTACCCACAAAGGGCTGGAGCAAGGGTGAAGATGTGCTTCTGCACCATGAACAACCAGACCCGGGAAAACAATGACTGTTGCTGCCTCTCACTGGCTGATGGTGTCTCAGCTCTGCAGTTGTGTTCCCCGGAAGGCTGGGTCATAGAGAGACCTGTCCCAAGGCTGTGCCTACATACAGCACCCCTGCTCACCAGGCCATCCAGGACTACACTGATGCACATCTTGTCCCCATATACCTGAGGGCCAGACCCTGCTTGAGCTGCCAGCCCACCAAGCTGCCCAGGGTGTCCTGTCAGCCAGTTTTTCTTCACCAGTTGGTGACTACAGCCAGGTATTTTCTGCTCCTCTCATCCCTGTGCTCCAAATGTATGTTGCCACCAGGTGAGCAGGGTGCAGTGCTTGCTGCTGCCCCTACCAGAGTGACCTCCTGAGGTAGTGGCTTCCTCTGGTAGGACCAGAATTGGAGTTTCTCCAGTGCTACCACAGGACTGCTGCTCTAGGGCTGGGCAGAGGCAAACATTTTTGTGTCTGGCACAGAGGACACAGTTTGCCTCTGCTGCGCTGGGGTGGCACCAAGCAGTGGGGTCTGACCTCTCGCTGTGCGGTGAGTCCCGCAGAGAATCCACCGAGTCACGATACTGTGTCATGGGCCTCCGTGAGTCCTCGATGCAGAAGGCAGCCCCACGGCGAGCCCGTGCCTCCACGCATGCAGGGCTGTTGCATTTACTGGTTCCCACTGAGGATAGCATTATCCCAGACTGGGAATCTGAAGTCAGGCTCTCCGTCCGCTCCAAGCTCCAGGTGTGGCTTTCATGTCTGTGGACCAAACCCCATATGGACAGTGAGCAAGGGATCCCCACCAAGGTCTTCTCTGAAGAGCTGCATGCAGGCACAGCTCACAGTCTGCTCTGCACTGATGTCCCCTTTCTCTCACTAGGATACATCTGGCCAGGGATGCCCAACCCTGCCTTTGATTTGCCTTTCTTTGCTACTTCTTGGATATGTGATGAGAGGGTAAAGAAAGGCAAACGAGTGCATACTGGGTATTTATCACACCACCTCCTGATGGCTAGGGACAGGACGGGACAGCCTCTGGAGGGAGGCCAGGGCAATTCTGCTTTGTGCTTGCGAAGCATACTGGGTGTGGAGCAATGCACTGGCTGTGCCAAGGCAAGTCCAAAAAGGATCTTCAAATGTGCCGTCTGCATTGCCAAGTGACAGCCCCTTCAGAAATGCTACCAGAAAGGAGCCAGGAAAAAAAAAAAACCAACAGTCAAAATTATTTCATCAGCAGCAAAGCATACCAAAGGTAGATCTAGATGTTCACTTTCCACTGGCTTACAAAAGATTTTGACAGCAAAACACTTTCAAGGTGCTAGACAAAACTATGATATGTTGGTTAGACCTTGCTGAGCACTTGGAACTCCACCTGCTCTAGTCTTCGTGCAAAGAAGACATCCTGCAAGGACTCAGTGGGGATGCATGGGGCCGTGTGTACACTGGGGTCCCGCCTATGCCCCAGCCACCAGGCTGACCCGTCTCCATAGCAGAAATACGTGATCCATTAGAGCAACAGTTCTGAACTCCCAAACTGCACCAGATGGAGCTCTGCTGGCAGAGGATTTTGGGTGGGGGTTTGCAGAGAAGAACAGGCCTCATTAAGACTTCCCAAGAACTTGTTAATTATTGATGGCTTCAGGCACATGCTCAGCTGCAACCACTACACTCATTTGTAATTTCAAATGGTGTCCTCATCAGAGGCACTGATTGAGTAAAATGGAGCCTGATTATGCCAGTGGTTTGCTTCTGGCATGACTTCAAGAAACACCTGCTCACTGCACTTGACTCAGGAACATTAGGTGGCAGGTAGCCAGGACCAAAGGCCACGCAAGGTAGGTGCCTCCCCACAGCTCTCATGTGTTAATACTGCCCTCCAGACACACATTTGCATCTTCAGGAGGTGCCCAGAGATGGCCCTGGGGTCCCAGGACTTTGAAGTGAGCATGGAAGGCCAGCAAGGTGCAGCTCTGCAGGCACAGGAGCCTCTGTGCGCCTGGCTCAAGCTTGCGCACATCTAGCCAAGGTTGGACTGCAGCGTACAAATTAAAAAAAAAAAAAAAGGGAAAACACACTGTCTAGCTCACCAGGGATAGGATTTCCCCGGACAAAGGCAGTAATTTCCAGACCAGCAAGTCTTTCTTGGCTCCCTCTCTAGTTGTTGAAGGTTTAGCCAGAGGAGTCTGGGGAGGAATTCACCTGAAAACCTAAGTACAATATCTAAAGTTGATCTGATGCATTGTACACTGAGAGTACTTGCTCATCCCTGATGAATGCCTGAACCCTGAAGAAACCTGCCAGGAGCCATCTTTGAGCATTAGCCGAAAGGATTCATTGCTTCGTGGATGAATGGAGACAAACACATTGGGCTGATGAAGTAAATAAGCCAGGACATCTTTTGCTTTATAAAGTCAATGCAATGTGATCTATATTTCATTGAGAGGCTGTAGATATGCCCCCCCTGCACCTTGCAGTCACTTTTCGAAGGCAAGTGCTCTCTTAGGGAAACACCGTCACTTATTGGAAGAAGTGCAAGAGCCATGTAAGAGGAAGACCCTGAACATCCAAACTCAAAACAGCACAGGACTTCCTCTAGACCATTTGAAGGTCTTTTCTGGACATCATAAAAATAAGGAAGCTCCATCTACAATTTAAATGCTCTCAAAAACCGTGAGAACTTCAGCTTCGAAGCCATGCTGCTCTTCCCTCTGATGGCTATTTCAAAATGTAAAAAAAATTATGCCTCATCATGCTTAGAAAGAATTATTGGTACTTCCCTGCTAGTCCCAGTTTTCCTGAGAGCTTCAGAAAGACTTCCAGTGAAAGAGATGCCACCACCTCAGAGGCTGAGATTCTAATGCAACTTTCTGGACTGTGATGAATTGCACACGTGTTTTTTTCTGGTGAAAAACTGTCTCCCAAGTCAGACCCTAACTTTGAGGAACTGGCCAAAACGTTTTGTGATATTTCGTGTACTGTGCCTTCCACAAGGCAAATACATTCTAAACATATCAAGCATGAAACAAATAACCTGTGCATGCTTAATGAATTATTGCCAGTGTCCAGTGTGGTTGCAAACACAACTTGCAAAACCTTTCCTAGGTGCATCCTCCTGTTCCTGTCTGTGAAAAGCATGAAAGCACAGCTTCATTTCGTGCTAGTTTCCAGCTATGTCAGTGCTGCAGGTTCCTGCTGGCACCTTGCTGCAGGTCAAGGATCACACCTTTGCACACCTCTCACTAACTGGCTGTGCCAGCAAAAACCTGCAGTGTTGACATGGCCTGTGTGCCAGTCTAGTGCTAAATATCAAGTAAAAACAGACAGGGTGGTGAAAGGAAAAACCTTTTACTGGTTTTGAATCTCATAGCATCCTAAGGCAAACAGCAGGAGAAAGTTCAGGGCAAAATGGTATACATTACCTCTGGCTGGATGTTGGAGTGGCTGTGGAGCAGTGATGAGATGGGGAGCAGGAGTGACTTCCTGAAAAGGTCGTCTCTGTTTCCCTTCGGATCACATGTTCAGTGGCAGAAACATTCTTAGAAATATACTGTAAAATATGAAGAATCATACAGATCAGCCACCAGCTTGCCAATGCTGCCACAGCCAAATTTGGCTGGCTTGATTATTTCTGGTGAAATCAGATGAGGACTGAGTGAACTCAGCAGCTCTGCACCCCACAGAAAGAGACAAGGAGGCTGGAGGCTCTTCTCTGCCCCTGCACTTTGAACACTGGAAAAAGGCCATGGCACAGGGACTGAAGAAGGGTATGAAGAGCCAAGGGGTTCCCCAGAGGACAGTGATACCATGTGTAGCTACTGAGCAGAAAAACGTCTCTGCTCACAGGACGTTATACACCCAACAGACTACTGGCAAAAAGACAACCACATGAGATCTGCCAGAGATACAAGTGTAATTAAAATATTTATGCTGAGATATTCCTTCATCTAACAAGAAGCACTGCTTTCCACAGGGACACTAAGCTCTCTGGGGGAGTCAGTACTTTGGGGCCAGAGGGCTGTGGTTCTTAGAAATTCCCTTTCCCTCTTCCTTCACAGCTGGGATTCAGCCTAGCTAAATTTTAACATCCAAAGGGTGACCCAGCAGTTTGTAACTGGTTAAGTGTACTCATTTCCATCAGTACTTCTTTTCATTTGTCTCTGCCTCCCCCCTCCCTTTTTCTGACCCCTTTTAATGCCTTGGTCCAGCAAGGCACTTAAGCATGTTGACAGTCCTATTGAGTTCACGGGGTTTGATGGGAATCTCATGTGACTGAACCCATGAGAGTGGCTGAACCATCCTTCTGGATCGGGTCCTAAATTCTTAGATTGTTCTTATTGGCATGACACTGGCACCCCACCAGGACATCTCACCTTGCCCAGGACACAACTCTTGGTACGGGCAGGTGGGCTCATGCAGTGCTGACCAGATCACCACGACATGCTTCAGCATGACATGGTCAATGCAGTGGCTTCAGCCACTGCCACGCTGATTGCATTTGTCATGCCACAAAGTGTGGCTTGATGGGATAAGCTTAATAAACAGGAAACATCAGGAACATCTCTCAGAGGAAACAGGATCACACTCGATTCATCAAAACAAGCCTGTCCCAAGTGCCCTAATATTATCCTGTTCTTCAAAGTAAAACCATATTTCCCTTCAGGTGTTGGTTTTGGAAATGTTTCTATGTGGAATCTCATCTTTTTGTTCAAGTTTGTTAGCGTCTTGCTCCTCACACACATGCACACAGGTGTGTAAGCAAACACATCCATGTCAAATCCCTGGTGGAAAATACTAACATGGAGTTAAAATACTAACTAGATGGAGACAAAAGGTCTTACATCGGCCATTTGGATTTCCTCAGGATCCAAACGTGGATGGCTTGGCCCGTTCGCAAGGCTCCTGTTCTGATGGGCAGGGCACATGTTCTGACGTAAATGATTATGCATTTGTTTTCTTTGTTTCCTTTAAAACAGAAAGGAAAAAATCTATTAGGAAGACTTATCTCATGGGGCTTTCTGCCCCCAGAGACACCTGCGGGACTCAGATGATAGAGAAGGCAAGTCTGAGACACACTTGATGTTTCAATGGTGTTTGTGGAAAGCTGCAAACAAGAAGAAACAAGGCATTCAACATTTCTGCTACTTTTTCAAAAAAAGGTGAACACTTCTCATCATGGGCAATTTGTGAAGCTGGGTCCAGGGTCCTCTTTTGCAAGACAAGGCCCAGCACAATGCAGTGCAGCCAGGGGCAACATGGTGCTGGGAGCAGAGGAGAAAAGTGGGGATAAGGAAAAAGGGAAGCAGGTCCTGGCTTGGCCTTGTTGGCAAGGAGCTTGACCTATCCTGCATTAAGCACAAAGTGGCAAAGCCTACCCATGCCCCTGGCAGGGCATCCACTCCCCAAGACCCGCTGTGTCCCAGGGGCACCCTGAACTGAGGTGAGGTGCAGGCTAAGTAGGGAAAACAGTGCTGTCCAGGCATGGAAGGCTGACCATAAAAGAGGTCCCCAAGCCTCTTGTTCCATCAAGATTGCGCTGAAAGTCCCTGAAATATGCATAGCTGAGCCCACTGTTCCTGCACAACAGCCCAATGTATTTCTGCTGTCAGGAGATGAGCTGCTGGCTTGGGGGCTAGCTTTTCCCTGTAACACAGCATCACCTGGCTGGGCGAAATGATGCTGATTCAGGGGATAAACAAATGGTCCCAGGAAAACATCCTACTCAGGCACAGCCTGGTAGATGGCTTCACTGGCCTCCTTCATGAGACCTTCCTGGACCACAGCACAGCATCTCCTCAAAATAGCATTTGGGTGAAGAGCATGAAGGCATGAAGCACGAACACTACCACTCAGTAACCTCTGGCTAGTTATTGTCTGTTAACTAGCCATACTCACTTGGTTTTACAGTAAGCTACCACACAGACGATGCCCACCACAAGCAAGGCAACACAGATTCCCGTGATGGTTAAAACTCTCTTCTGGTAGAGCTCTTCTGCTTCTGCAAATGGAGAGAAAGAAACCAGTTACAAATGGGCTCCAGCACCAGGGATGCATCTGGCTGCACAGGAACCAGCACTGTGTGTGGGTAAGATGGAGAACAGGGCTTGGTCAGACCTCCTGCCAATCCACTGCCCATCTCTAATAGCTGACCCAAACCTGAGACCAGCTGGCCCAACTTTACTCAACCCTCAAGAGACCTTCACTCCTTTTGTCTCTCTGCACCTTTGCCCTGTCTCGCTCAGTAACTCACCCCTTCTGCACTCAAACACACTTCTTGCTTTCTCTTCTTTTCCCACAGCATAACTTGGTGGCTAATCTCAAAAAGCCCCATGACTCCCCTCTCCCTTCCAGCAGATCCCCCCTTCTCGATAACTTAGTAGCCTACCAAGGAAGTCCCCGAGCATCCCCCACTCACCACATACACGCATGCCCTGTGATGCTCTCATCACAGGCTCTCTGCTCTGACGGACTCAGAATGCCTTTTCCTTGCAGCGGCTGCATGCCCTGGAGCTCAGCAGTGTGCTAGAAACCACCGAGCAACAGGCCCCAAAGCATGTAGGTGCTGAAAGGGACATCCTAAACCAGTCAAAAAGCACAATGAGGATGGAAAAGTGATAGCGTGTTAGACAAAGAAAAGGGAGTGGAGTAATTGAAATACAGTAACCAATTACAGTTATGGACTTTTAATGAAACCCTAGGAAGCGATTAATTCCATTGCACCAGGTAACTCAGATGCACACACAAAATTCAAGCAGCATGCTGCTGCTTCTCTCAAATATCACCATTTGTTATGGACCACCTTTCAAACCAGAAAAGTCAGTCGCATCAAAACCCAGACCATGCTGGAAGTGAGGTAATTCATTCACATTAATCAAAGCTCCAAGGAAATGCTAGGATGTCACTTGCAGTGTAACTGAACTACACCTAGGCAGCAATCACACAGCAAGGAGACCTCTTCCTCTGTGGCTAAATCAGAGCAGATGCTCTTCTTCACCACACCCAGCAATCTCCACTGAGATCAGCAGAGGCAATCTGGTTCTCCAGCTGGATGACTGACAGAAGGATTCAGTGCACAGCTGCCACGAGCATTTTAGTTCAGCATCTATGATCGATGTCCTCATGCCCCCATACTATGTGTTAAAGTTATTGGGGTTTGTGCCTTCTTTAATATTAATTGAAATATTTTTTTCATATAGATTAGGCAATAAAACTCATGCCATGGTTGCTGTGCTCAGCATCGTTCATCATGCTACACTAAATACCTTGAATGGACTATATGATATCCCCAGTGCCACCAAACAATGAAATACAAAACCGGAAGAGAAACAGGTCTGGTCCCAGAAACCCCTGGGACTAGACTTTAGCAAAAAAGGGGGAAGCAGTGAAACATTCCAGATAATTGAATATTTAGACCAATTTCAGCTTGCCATTTTAGGAAGGAAAAAGTATTTTTGGAAGCAAAAAAAGTGTTTAAAAAAAAAAAAAGTCTCTTTCTAACTCTCAGGATGGGAGTGAAGAAAGATTTGCTAAACAAGGGCTGAGAACGACAGCCCCGGCATGAAGATGCAAAACATAATCAGCAGAGCTTGCTTCATGCTTGTGCTGCAAAGCTACAGTTTAAATAAATACATTTCCATGCATTTTGTTTGTGCACTGGCCTTTGGCTTCATGAGGTGCTCAGAGTGCCAGTGGAGTTGCCAGGAAAGCAATGTCCCACTGTTCACTAGAGAGGTGGGCAGCTGAGAACCAGGTGGAGCTGGCATGGGGAAAGAACTGACTCTGGGGTGAAACACCTCCTTCAAGGACGTGTTTCCCTTGCATAGATGTGCTATTCCAGGCATCAGCAACCATGGCAGACAAGTTTTCTTGCTCTTGCACACCTTTGGGACCTGGATTCCAGCTGTACAGCACTTTTCTTCAGACAGGAGTTTCAGAGATTTTATCAGAATCAGGAAAACCAGCTAGGATCATGGCCTGGTTATGGACAGCACTGGGCAAGAATTTTGCTACTACCTAGCAAAAACTACTTTTACAAAAAAAAAAAAGGCTGGGCAGGAGGTCAGTTTTCACCATGGACCCATCCACGAAGCCAATTTTTTCAAAGATTCTTCACCAGCTATGCTTTTTGCTACAAAGACTTTTTTTCCAAGCATAAATTGTTCCCTTTGAATCATGGAGGAGGGAGAAAAAGTGAAGCCATCAAAACTATGGCTTTTTTTTTTTTTTTAACCTATTACATACATGGCAAAATTTTTTGCCCAAGGCTCAAATGACAGCCTCTGTTCTGGTGATCATGTCAGTATGGTACTCTGACTCTGGCATGTCTGACTTTCCTGAACCTTCACCTGAATTGCATGGGGAATGTTTCAGTTCATCAGAAATGCAGATTTAGCCTCTGTCTTGAGCTGACAGCTCTGCTATGTGAAGTAGTGAAGTGTGAGGCTGTGCATCACTGCTGCAAAACTAAAAATTAAATGACCTGCTGATAGTAATTTAGCTTGGCTCCTAACATCTCATTAAACATGATGTTTGATAACACAATATCTCCATGTTGCACAAAACCATCTCAACAGTGAGAGAAAGAAAATAAGAGAATGCATACTACAATTTTGTATTTGAGAAGGTAAGATCCTGGAGCAGGACTTGTCCATTTGTGTCTCTGTGCTCTACAAACACCATGTCTTCAGCAGCAGCAGCATCACTCTACAGCAGCAAACACTATGAACAAACCATGTGGTGCCACATAATGCTGACAATCACAGTCCAGCCAGGGATGTCACAGCAACGCATGAAAGTGAAAGACGAATGACAGAGAAGAGCTGACTGTAGACTGAGAACAGGATGTGTGCGGTTCTGCGATGACATTGAGAATGGATGAGGAAAAGGACAAAAGTTCAACAAAAAAGGGATGTCAAAAATCCTCAATTTTAAAGTTTATTTAAGTGTATTAGCATTAGCAGCACCACTTTCTCTGAAACACCTGACCACAAAATGCACACATTTTCTGCAGCAGGGAAGAACTGCTGGGGGATCCACACTAATCCTGGTGGATCAGGCATGCAAAAAACAGAGGAGACAAGTTTCTCCAGCTTCAGCTAGTGCATATCCCTCCACCTCAGGGACCCAAGAAGACAATTTAGGATCCAGAAGTGAAAGATTGGTGTCCCCATACCTCTAGCAAATTGAAGCGTCTTCATGTGAAGATCTGCTATGGCTGACATTGCCGGGTAAATGTTTTTAAGCTAAGTGATAAAGATAAATCTCTCTGCTCTCATCTGACCAAGCCCTCCCTGCGGTTGGCCTCTACACTCAAGGGAAACCTAGCCTCAAGGATTTGATTTCCCAGGTGCTTACTCAAGTGGTACTTGATATATTTCTAAAAACAGACTGAGGAGAATGGAAGAAAAATAATATGATTATGAGCAACTGGGCAGGAGCAGGTAATTGCCCAAAGGGGATATTTTTAAAAGCATTTAAGTTACTGCAGTATTTTTCCAAACTTCACCTTGCCACCATGATGCTCAGCACTACACCCTCTGCTCTCATGGGAGACTACAGACTTCCCTGGGCTCACTGTTTTCTAGACTAACTTGTCTCATGCCACTTTTCTTGGAACAATTTCCTCCAAGTCAAGAACCAAAATAAGCTGCTAACCTTTGGGAGGAGGAATGGCAAAGCTCATCCTGACCCTTCACAGGATCCAGTGGAGGTTCGTGCGTCTAGGATGGCAATTTCTATAAAAGCCGTGATCTTCCTAAAATTTGCCTTCCTGTTCCTGGAATGCCTGCCCATTCCCAAGTGGTGCCTGCTGGCAACCTTTTGGATGGACACAAACTCCAGCTTTTCAGTTAAATACACAAAAGCATGTTGAATGAGGAGACGTATGGCAATTGTAACATCCCAGTCACGCCACACACACCAGGCTGCTGCTTGAAACAAAGAAAAAAGTGCTGCTAAAAATACACATACATTTTCATAGGTTTACATTTAGATTTTGTGTTTTGCTTTGTTTAGGTTTTTTTTTTTTTTTTCTTCAATCCAAACATCTATCTTGGTGCCAGGGAAGAGAACAGAACAGGTGATTTTTTAATCATCCCATTAAAGCCATAAATATAATGTGGGCAGCTCTTAATGGCTTCTGATTAATAAATGAATGGTTGTTCCATACCCTTTAATTCAAATCCAAGATGCTCTGCCAATGCAGAAAGAAGACAAGGAAGAGAAAGAGAAAAAGAAAAACAGGTCTGTCAGAGATCTCTAATATACAAACACACACACTGTGCAGTTACAGCAGATTAGCTTTTCGGTAGGCTTAGCAGCAGTTACACAGAAGACAGTGTATGCTTCAGAGCATTTCAGATTCCCACCAGAGCTTATATCTTATGTAAAGAAAGAGCCAAACAAATTGCAGTGGAAGTTAATTATGAATTCTTTTAGTTAATTATGAATTCTTTTGAGATGAGCCATGTTTGTTAGTACCTGATATGGAATTCACAGTTTAGGCAGTAGGCAAAAAAAAAAAAAAAAAAAAAAAGAAAAGAAAAAAAAGGTACACTTGTTCTGAAACAACTCCTGGCAGGTCAAAACACAGCAACTGCATGAACCTGGTAAAAACCATTCACTTACTTTCTACAGGCAAAATATGCCCTGCATGGTTTCACACGTCCCTCTCTGCCTGGGGGCCTGTGCACCAAAGAAAAGCGCTGGGCAGACAGATGTGTGGGCACTCATACAGGGCCCTGAGGCCTGCCAGCATGATTCTGCTGCCCACAACCTCAAGTCTGGTCTCAGATGCACAGTGTCATCTGGCAGCATTGCCTGTAAATCACCTGATGGCGTGTCAGTTGTGTGAGCACTGTTCTTGGCAGTACAGATCTGCAGTGAACCACTGATGTCACAAGTGATTAGTTGCCTGGGCAAGGCAATGAATCCCTTGCAGATCTAAAAGTGTAAATTGCACTGAAAGTTTCCCTCAAGTCTATGATCTTCCAAATTTCACTTCTGCTGTGGTTCTGCATTGTTTTAGAAACAACTAGCATGCTGAAAAAAAACCAAATTGGAGCATCTGCTTTCAAATTCACATTCATTACAAGTAACATTGCAGTTCACCTTGCAGAGATAGTGCTAAGCGAAGTAGTTTACCTAATGAATCAATAATGCAGCTATCCAGAATAGGTATCCTGAAATTTTAGTAATTTTCCTGGTACAGACCTCACCTAAAGACAGGCTTTCTTACATAAATGTTGAAGTTCTCCATACTTATCATTGTACACAACAGTGAGCTCTGCTGTTCCCAGTCACCATACAAACAAGATTATTTGCAGCTTGGAGACGTCCAGATTTATTTACTTTATTTTCCATAGGAGCTGCTTTTTGCTGCACAAAAATATTGTCTTTCTTTTGCAATGCTGTTCAAAATTTAGGCAGGGGGAAATCAGCACAAATCGTTATGGAATGTGTAAACACATTTTCTAAAGCAGGTTCTTGTCTTCAAATCAATGCTGATGGGGTTTTTTGCGGGGTGGGAGTTGGGAGGCACTGGGTTTTTAAAAATTTTGTATGATTTAAAGGCCACAAAACCTGGCTGCTCTCTGTTTCATGTCTCACATTTGTGCAAAAGGAATAGCAAACTCTACCATGCGTTTCACAGTCATTTTGTACAAGTTGCAGTGACATGGACCAATGTGGTGGGCAGCAGAGAACCGGACAGAATGCATTCATCCTAAACCTCTTGGGTTATCACATCTAGCCTTGACCTTTTCCTAAGGCATGCTACCATTATACACACAGTTTCACCTAACACTATGACAAATGCATGTAGAGATACATTAAATTTCATAGAATCATAGAATCGTTTAGGTTGGAAAAGACCTTTAAGATCATCCAGTCCAACCATTAACCTAACATTACCAAGTCCACCACTAAACCAGTTAAGGGTAGAGTAGCAATTCCATGTTTCCTGGCTTGGTGGCTGGATTATTTATAATGAAAGTAAAAACTAGGAATCATTAAGATTGGAAAGGACCTCTAAGATCTTCATCTATATATCTATGCTATTGATCCATTTGATAGCTGCATACTGCCTATACTGTCACATTTCCTCCCTGTTCCAGGATTTGCTGCAACATCTACAGTTACAAATGGATGCCATTCAAAATATTTTCATGTTTTTTTTTTCAAACTCAGAAATGCCTGTGCAAACAGAGATGGTGGGCAGGACCTGAGGAACTTTAGCCTTCCCATTGTCCCTCTCACATCAGAACTGTAGCTCCCCAACCCCATGGAGCAGATACAGCCAGCTGGCTCACTGGATCTTAGCTACAGGTTCCCTGAGCAGGAGAGAAACTATGCAACCATGCAGCACCTGGAATGTATGTGCCTGCCTATGCCTACAAACCCACTGGTAGCTTTGCAGATAGAGGAAACCTTACCCCAACCTATGCTCCTGCATCTGATGTCCATGGCTACTCAATACATCTCTATCATCATTTCAGGCTACAGACATTGCTTCTGTATCACCCGTAACTGAACACATCAAATAGGGAGCCACTCTCCCCTTCCCCTGCTCAGGAGTTCCTCCCAGCCTGGGCAGGTATTGCCTTCTGTGCTGGGACAGTGAAGGAGGACACTCTTCAAGAGTAGGCTGGGATTTGGAGTGTTTGCCTCTTCTCTAAAGAAGAGACTGTTCAAAATTATTCAACATGGTACAATCCAGAGGCTAACAAGATGGCCCCAGCTCCAGGAAAAACATTGCTTCAAAATGTAATTATCCTGTGTTCAGCAGAGGGGTATCATCTTCACAAACATGGCTTACCACATAGTGCGTGCCTATGTTATATCAACAACATACCACTTGGTAGAAAATACATTTGAGAAGTCAAAATTTCTCCTAGAGACAACAATTTATTTTAGTCTGGAGCAAAAGATATTTCTGACTGCATACCATGTTTGAAAGAAGTCTCCTTTGTTTTTTTAAGAGGTTCATCAGGAAAAGTAATACATCTTTAAATCTTTGGGCTATATTTGCTGGTAGGTGGAGAAGATGTTCAGCATTACGTGTAGCACCTGCACTGTGTCCTGCAACAGTTTGGTCAACCTGCATTTTACTCACCCTCCCAGTTAGACTGGCAGTCTGACAGACTTGGCTGCTGGGGATGCCTGGAAACCTTTGGACAGCAGTCCCCCTCTGCAGCCATTAACCATACAGAGGGAAGCATGAGGTCCAGGTAAGTCCTACAGCTCCTCCAGACGGTGATTCACTCTGTGCTGATAGAGGTGGTTGCAATGGTATTGTATCCCAGGCTTGTGGCAGAGGGAGCCTTTCGGATAGCTAAAATTAAATTGATGAATCCCATCTGTAGAGACAAACTGATACATGCCAGGAGTGCTGACCAAGTACAGCAATACTCTCCAACTCCCAAGGGACAAGCTCCATTGGAAGGAATATATCCAGAGGCTACCAAGCAAATAAATTACAGTGAGATGGCACTGAGATGGTAGCTCTAGGCTGAGGAAATGGGCTTATTATTCTTCTCACATCATCAACCTTCTGTCTGAACTCCTCACGTGCTCCCTAGTCATGGCAAGGAGTTAGGGCTGAGCACCCTGAACTGCTGTGAGAGTCCCCAAACTATTTGAAGTGGGGACATGTTTTTTGGAA